TCGGTATCGATATCGGTTATCGGCTACATGAGTGTTAAAATATCGGATATCGGCCAAAATCCCAATATCGTGCATCCCTAATTAGCTTGTAAATTATATTTTTTAACATTAAAAATAAATGAATTTTTGATTGTTTGAGATGGCAACAACTAATTTCCTATATAAGATTAAAAGAAAAAAAGGTTTTCTAGTAAAAGTCATGTTATATTTTGCGGCTCTAAACAACATTTACTTGGTCGAACTCTGGTCAAAACGGCTCTTTGAATACGAAAGGTTGCAGACCCCTGTCATAAACTGTTCTGAAGCTTCAAAAATCTCCCCGGATTAAAATAGTTATTTAGAAAATCCGGTGGTGGTAACTGTTTTGAAATACTGTTCCTCATACGGCATTGCCTCACCAGTCTGCAAAATGGCCGTCACAAGGACATTCAGCAGCTGGTATGCTGGATTATTTAAAAAGATATGGATTAAAGGGGAAGGCAGGTTTAAATCGCTTGCTGATGTTTGACTGTTTTCCAGCCAAATGCAAAAGCTTGACCTTAGTTCATCCTAATTTTGCTTTTTTTGGTTTTGTTTGTGGTCGTCTGCTGGAACCGTAGAAATTTGCCATAGAAAAGAACTCATTTCTCATAAAAACAATCATTTATATCTTTTCATTTTTCAGTAAAATGTATGCTTTATTCTGCACCACTCTATGCGTTCTCTGATATAGTTTTTATTTATGTTTTTATAAGAGAGTTGTAGCTATGGCCTTTAAGTTTAGGGTTTAATTAGCCACTATGTTGAGAGTTAACCCAGACTTTATCCACCAAGATCAGAACCTTAATAGAAATTTAGACCTATTATAGTCTTTTCATTGTGCAGCCCGGCCACCTCTTCTACAGAGAGGGTTGCTTAGTGAGTTAACAATGAACAAGAGCATAAAATAAATGTTTGTTAACGAAAAGCTGCTGGTTTCCTTATTATTAGTGAAGATTTGCTTCTAATTGGTGCTTTCTTTTATTTCACCACTGGAAAGCTTCTAGTGTCGCACTGTAGTGGGTCCGTGGTTCACCTTTCATCTCTGGATGGGAAAATAGGATGAAGCTTCGCTGTATTTGAGCATTTTTAATCCTAAATGGAGTTCGGATCTAAGCTGATGGAAAAAGACAAAGTGGATGAAAGTGAAATGATGGGATTGACTCGCTGCTTTCCAAGGTCAAGCCAGAAAGCTTTGACTGGGAGAACCTGACGCCTCCTTCATCCCCTCATCCTCACCTCCCCGGCAGAATTCTGGTCTGTGGGATGATGTCGGATAAGAGATTATTTTCATCTGGATGAAGGGAAGATGTCTGCTTTGTCCTCCACTTTCACAAGGTCGATTTGGTTTTATTAGATCCAGAAGCGTAAAGCTTTTCGCAGCCTTGTTCAAACAGCGCCGCTGACTCTGCGTGTTTGCATGTAGTCTGCATGTCTTCTGTGTGTGCAGCAGACATCGTTTGGCTTGTTTCAGGACCAGCATGCTTAGAACGGCTTTGAACTGGTTTGGTCTGATGACATTAAGCTTTTCACTGGTTACCGTCACGACACCATTTGTCCTCAGCTTAATTTCCCTTCTATGTTCTTCTCATTTCTGATTTGGTCTAATAAATCAGAAGTTGTGAGAAAAATCAAAAATGCTTTGCCTCATAGATCCTTTATTAATGTCTAGGAAAGCTGGAAGGCACCTGAACTATAGTAGCTGTTTAATAGGCCTTTGGTAGATTTGATCTAACCTGTTTTATTTGGTCAAAAGAAGTTGAAGTCTTCTGGACGGGTTTTTCATTAATAAGATATTTAATTTCCTCTCCAGAAGACTAAAGTTTTTGTTTCTTTCTCTGTCTGGATTATTGATTGGATTATTTCCTTAAAATTATGTGTTTCATTCCAGCTTTCTCTGAAAATGAAGCCTTTAGAAACAGTTATCTTTAAGAAGAATTGCTTATTATTTATTTGTTTGATTTGACTCATTCAGCTTAACTAAACATCCATCCTAAAGGTTTTAATTAAAACCTTTGCTTCTAACTCTGATGGCAATGCATGGTTGTCAGGCTCAGTCCTGTGAATCTCTGGGCCTTTCAAACAGTCTCTCCTCTTGGTGATCTCTATCGTTCACGGCCGTCGGCTCCGTTCAGATACAGTCACACCTCTGGAGTGTGATCGGCACCTTTCTTGTGTCCCCAAGGCAACAACACAAAGACTTTTGAAGAAGTGAAAAAACCACCGGTTCATTTGAAGGCTCTGATTGCTGGGGAGACGTACCGCCTGAGGGTTTACTCCCAAGAGCTGAGCAGCGTCAGCAGCGAACCCGTCATCTTTAAAACCAAAGCAGGTGAGATGACACCTGCTTCCAGCCACGTGGGCCCATCCCAATGCATTTCTATCAGTAATGTCCGGCACAGCTGGGAGAGTCATTGTAGCTCTTCTCTTTTCTATCTGGTTTGTTCCTTCAAAGATACATTTCTGTTTGATCTGATTTAACTTTTTATGTCATCCTTTGGATAAATGTCTAATGAAATGTGAGGCAATGTAAGTACCATACCTGCTTGGGGCCCCGCCCCTTCTTATGACATCATCATATGGCAACTCCACTCGGACAAACTGTAATGCACCCGATTCTTAAGGATCAGATCTGGAGTCTCAACATATTATTACCTGTATTTGCTATGATTTTACATTTTATTGGCAATTTAAAGTAGCCGAAAGTAGAAAACCATCATTGTCAGTCTGGAAAGTACTGCGTTCTAAGACAGACCGAGCTCTGCTATTTAACAAAAACAGTCTCAGTTTATTTGTATTCTTTTCATGAACCGGAACTGAAAGGTGAGGGGAAGACACTGCGGTTAGTTCAAGGTTCAGTGGGAGAATTGATTCTTGAACTTGAAGAGGAGAAAAGGCTGGAAGACTCACGTTTCCAGAGATTAGGTTGACTCTTAGAAATCAGTAGGTGAGTAATGTTTTCCGGTGTTAGTCTCAAACGGTGGAGGGTGGACAGGGGTTACCCAGAATGCGGTTGCTTGTAGGTGAATAGAGAAAAACTGACTGCCACTCAGATTTCCTGCAGTACTTGAACGGACTGTTGCGTAGATGAATCCCTTGCTCAGTGTGAAGCTCAAACGTTTCCCCGGGGAAAAGTGGATCCAAACCTCCGGTTTGTTTCCTCAGCTCAGTTTGAAGCTCAGTTGTTCCTTCCAGGGAGAGAAGGTCAGAAAAATCCAGTTCCTGCCGAGAGGCAGAGACAAAAAACAATGTTAAGACTCAGGTTGACAAAAACTCAGCTTGGCTAGAGCACCCAAAACTGGCAAACACTCTGGCGTCGAGGTAGTGGCAGTCAGCAGCTTAAGAACACTCCGTTAACGAGGAAACCATCAGCAGGTGTGTGAGGAGGAGAATCAGGACCAGGCGCCTCCTGGTGGAGGAAGGGAGACAAACACACAAACACACAGACTGGAGTCCTAACACCCGGGGTTGGCAGACGGCTGATCTTTAGCCCCTTGCAGCTAACTGAAGCTTTTTAAAAATGTATCAAAATGGAAAAAGATAAAATATATTTTATTGTTTGTTTGTTTCTTTTAATATAGTGTGAAGAAGAACAAAACACCATTTCATTATTTATCTTTTCCAATGCTGTAAAAATTTGCATATACACAAATATAAACATTTCTATCAACAAAGATTTGCGTCATAGCCTGTGACACACTGCCAGACAGGTGGCTGTTGTAAACCAACCGGTGGGTCCACAGTAACTGATTAATAGCGTCTTTTTTCATTTATATTATCTACTTACATCATCCAAAGGCTGCTGTTGCAGGCCGCATTTTATTGCACTGTTACCCGAATAAGGAGGGGAAGAGGATTATATTGTTACGTTGGTTTGAAGACGACTGCATTTTATTTCCACATGGAGGTTTTTGAAATGACAGGAGTCCAATTATGCACATTCCATACAAATCCTCAAAATAAAAATAACACCAAAAATCTGATTTTTTATTGCATTCATATAATTCCATTGATTCAAGAAATGAATAATAGATTAATAGTAGTGATGGGCATAGATTAATTTTGTTAATCTAGATTAATCTCACTGTAATCTTGGAATTGATCTAGATTAAAATCGTTCATTTCAATAATGAGCAGTGTGTCGCAGTTAGCTCATGATACGTGTGCGCTACCTCCAGAATTTAAAATAACAGGTTTACTTTTATATGTTTGCAAAATCACTTGTAATTTTGTCTTCTCACTGAAGATATTGTAAGTTATAAATACTTCTTTTGCTCATTTGTTTCTGTGTTTTTGCTGCAAAAAATAGAGTGTCCCCCTTCCAATTATAACTGTCCCACTTTAACAATGTAGCGTCTCCAAAACACGTTGCCTCGATCAACTTGTCATCTTTCGCAGCTTTCTCCACGGCGTGCTGGTCATGTATTCTCCTCATGATGGTTCATCAGGTAGTGTGTAAGATGGGTCACCTGTGGCCGCCTGGAGAATGAGCTCTAGCGCAACTTGTGGCGATCCACTGAGCGAGGAGATCATTAGCTCGGCTGATAGAGTTGTTCTAATAGCTGAATCTATGTCAGGATGTCACGTTTGATTGTGGTAATTTCACAGTAAAGGGCTGGTTATTCTCCCGTGGCAGTGTGTCGCAGTTAGCTTGTCGCAGGTATGACGCAGATATTTTTGATTTATGCACAATAATGAAGCGTGGTCTGTGCTGTTATTCCACGCCACGACTCCAGAGGGCCAATCAGGAAGTAGCTAGGATTGTGGGCGTCCGTGTGTCGGTTTGACAAGCTTGTTCGCCGTCTACACATGAGTGTTCCCCAAAGACTAGCCGTGGCGCTGCGAGTTTTGGCTTCGTTTCCAGATATGCAACACACACGCAGACGGCCTGTTTTCTGAGCAGAAACCAGGTTTGCCTACACAGTTTGGAAAACTGATTCGTTCTCGACCCCAGATATACATCTCTGCTAAAATATCAAGGTGAAAGTCACCTTTAGTACAGACCTAGCTCCCACCAGCTGTGAGAATAGATTAAAGGCGCACCGCTAATTAATCCTGTAATGAAAGTAAAACTTAAAGCACCAAATATCGTACAGCAGATTAGTCACATGGTGTCATTTTCTCCAGGATGCGCTGCAGGGAAAATAAACATTTAATCATGAATGTTTTTTGGTGTATTTAACCCATCATAGTCATTTTGATAATGGGCTAATATACACTTGGAGCCTTTAGGCACCTTATATTTAATTTTTGTGTCTCCAGACAGATCTGTTTTATGTTGTTTGGTCCAATATGGCTCTTTGAACATTTTGGGTTGCCGATTCCTGCACTAGCGTGCTTCTTGGAGCAGATTAGCTGCTTATAGATCATCACTCTCTAATCTCAGAAAGTTGGTTAAAGAAGCTGCTTCTAAGAGGCACATTTCTCCAGCTGCTCATTTGGAGAATATCTACGTCAGAAGGGAGGGGCTGCTGACGTAGATATTCTCCAAATGAGCAGC